AATTGTTTTTTGGTCCTCAGAAAAATTAAAAATTGATGGCAGATAAGTGGTGCCTAGTACCGCTGAGTGTGATGCTGATGCAATATGTAGGCATAAGCTCAACTCTGCACCTTGCAGCTGCAGGGAGCTGCAGGGAGGCTCTGAAAACAGGTTATTGATAAACTTCGACGGCGAGAAGCCGCGTCACCCGCTTTGAGCAGCGTTAGTCTTTGTGCAGCAAGGATCCTGACATCGATCTCGGTGATAACCCAGCTAGAGAGCGTGTGATCCGAGCTGTTTCCGTTAAGCGTGTTGATGTTACAGTAAATGTGACATGTGGGTGTTGATTGAAGGGACATCATTCTCAGGCCTGCTTTGGGCCAACACCCTGAAAAGCGAGTCACTTCTTTGTGCTTGCTCTCCAGCTAGGCTGAGCTCTTTCTGGATGTGCCTTCAAAACAGCAGTGACTGTGTGCGGAGAACAGCGTGCTGGGTGTGCTGCGGCACGCTTGTGGGAGGCTTCCTGTGCCTGGGCGCCAGGAGCTGTGGCCCCATGGCAGATCCCAGGCAGGCCCAGCTCGTCCCAGAGTTGGCTGGCCCCTGAGGTAGCCTGTGCTTCGCCCCCCAGGTGGGCACAAGGGTGGGCAGTGGCTGCGGTGGGGTGCTGGGGCAGGCAGGGCACCCACCCACCATCTGCAGCGAAGGCACTGGCAGCGCTCGCCTTAACCCTCCCGTTATCGATCTGTGCAGAAACCAACCGCGGAGGGGAGGTTTCACACGCAACACTTTGGCCCGGCACCAAACTGAACCCTCTTCCCCCTTTCTCTGCCTCCTTTTGATATGGCGGGACGGGAAAAATAAGGAAGACAATAGGTTGGCAACTTTCACATGCCTTCTTACCTTGGTTCTGCAGTGCAAAAAAAATATAAGAAAATAAATTGCTGCTGCCTGGACCCAGCCTCACGTAAACCCCGTGAACAAGGATCCACAGTTTTGTCTTTAGAGGCCTTGGAAATGATTTTTGGTAACGCAGTCTTTTTCACTATTAGTGGGTACGATTTTGAGACATCTGACAGGCAGAAAGTAGGTAGCATGTGCATTCGCTTTAATACTGGGCATGAGAGTATTGTTTGCATGGGGCACATATGCTCTAATGATGTCACCACGCCTAAGCAGGAGCGCTGGTGGTTTTGCGACAGTGCCGCTATGGAATTAAGGAGTTTGTCCACTGTATTTTGGCGTGGTAGGCAGCCAGAGAGCTTGGAGGTGCTGCTTAGAGTCCAGCCAGCAAGTGTAATGCTTTTCAAAGTAAAGCAAATGATTTAGATTGTCCAGTTGCATTAATTTCATGAAGCCATTGGGTAACAACGGTGTCACTCACGTTCCCATAGATAGCTCGCGTCCCTGACTCGCTGTGCTCCCTCGGCAGGCAATGCCAAGGCAATCCTCTTTGGAGGAATCTCTGGGTGCAGGGAAAATGCCGGGCACACCTTAACACACCTGGAAGAACCAGGGCACGAGTCCTGGTTTGAAATAGCTCGTTTGCATTTTTTTTTTCCTTTTCCCACGTAAGGGAGATGAGATGTTTTCCATTCTCCTTTTTTGTGTGGCTTGATTTTTCCTTCTTAAAAAAAAAAAAAAAAAAATTAATTAATTTTAAATAAATACTTGCGAGGAAACACCCTCCTCCCCCCAAATGCAGCTACCAACAAACAGCAATAAAACCACAGAGTTAAATTCAAATAATATGAAGCGACTCATTTGAAACCCACAGACACAAGTGGAGTCAGAACTTTAGATTGAGACTGGCCTAAATTGCCCCACTGGTATTAAAGGACTCCTTAAACAGCCTAAGATCTTGGCTGTTGTATTAACCAGACATGACCTGATGCGTTATGGGCTGGACTTGCAGGCTTTTTTCTCTTTTCCTTTGTGGGTTTTAAATCTCTCCTGTAATATTACTTGAATGTAGGTTTTTAATGGCTTAATTGAGTTGTCAATAGGAAGCCTTTTCTTTTTTTTTTATTCCGAGTAAAAAAAAAAAAGCAAATTGACATGGATAAAATGCATTTGAAGATCTGCTCAGTATTTTGTTTTTCATTCTTTTATGTCTGTTTTCCACATCCCGAATAAGGGGACGTAATATAGCTTCTGCATTGTTGGGTGTACGGCTGGTCTCATGCTTGACGATTTATTAAGCTCAAATCAGAAATAGAGTCGAGTAAAAAAATCTTTTGATAGTTTGAAAGCCAATTACTACTGATCATGAGGGCTCGGCGTACCAAGAAAACGAAAAGCTGATTTTCGGTAATGTGATGACTGCCAAAATACGAAGGAATACCAGATGTTATTTTTAAAAAGTGCCATTGCAGAGTCCTTGGAAAGAGAGAGTGAGCGAGTGTAAGTGAATAGGCATATGTGGATTTAACTAATATTCAAATGAAGTGTAGAACTGAAAAGAAAGAATTCGCAACAGTTTAGCTGTTTAAACCTCCTTTATGTTTCCACAGGCGCCTGGTCAGGACCCTTATCAAATGCAGCAGTTTTGCTACGTTTTCTGAAGAGCACAATTTAAATAGCAGGCAAAAAACCCCCCAAAACCTCACATCAAAAAGATAATAAAGTTGAGATCCGTGCTTTTCTTTTTGTTTGTTATATATATAAAAATGCCAAAATTCAGCCTTTGTAATTTGAGAGACAGACTTTAATCTGAAGGCTTTACAGAAATGTTAGGTGAAACTAGTAACAAAGATTTTCCCCCTCTGCCACCTTTTTTCCTTACGACCCTTGGTTCAGTTCCTGTTTTCGTGTTGTCTTTTCCAGCTCTTTGTCCCATCTCCCGCGTGTGTATCTGCGTGTCTGTGTGTGGGTTTTTTTTTTTTTAATATTTTGACACTCTGCTCCCCCTTAATAGGAATTCTTCCTAGAAATAGCGCGCACATTTCTAAAGGACCCTTTTCACAGACCTTTTCTTTTGGCTCTAAAATGATGTATATGTAATTGGTAATTAAAGGTGCAAGCTCTCTTCAATATAAACAATATTGCTCAATGTTAGGTCATTAAAGGGAACCGCAGTACTAAATAATTACCTTTTGCATCATGACACACTGTTCGCAGGCATCCGCTCCCTTCCCAGCAGTCCCTGTTCAGCGCAGGGTTATGGTTGCATTTTCACTAAGGCAAGGAGGCATCTTTTCATGATATAAATTGGTGAATTAATTACATAGTGTTGTCTTCAAACTCCTTTTAAACTTAGATTAAGGGGAAAAAGGTAATTAATGGTTTTCAGGACGAGTATTGTGCTGTGTATTTGGTAAGCTTGGTGTGAGTTAGGAAACCAAAGCTTTCCCGTGCCCATCTTCTGCTCCAGCAGGATGGTCCGTGCTCGGGCACTTCTCTGGGGTCCCAGTCCTTTTCCTGCTGCCGCTGGTGCTGCTGCTGCTCTCTGCTTTGCTGTTAGTGAGCTCTGATGCAACTTGTAACACAGCTGGTAGATACACCGATCAATTATTTATTCTGCAAGGCGAAAATGGGGGCGATTCTTTTTCTAAACTGCCTTTTTCAAGGCTCAACCATTTTTGTTGCCAGGTAATACATTTCACCTTCTGCCTCTTGTCCCTTTCCTATGTGTTTTTTTTGCAATTTGGTGAAGAGTGGGACAAAACTCCTTTTGTTTTCGGCCAGGAGGAGAATCCAGATCTGGATTATAACATCTGTTTATCTCAGTCTCACTTCTTTGAGATATTTGTGTGACTTGCTTTCCCCAGGAAATCCATAAGCAAACCGCTTGCACTAATAGAGAACATTTTTCCTCCTATTCCTTTAATCCTGATTCGATTAGAGGTTTCACTCGCTGATTTACATACTGTTAGTTCCTCTGTTTTGTTCAGCTCAAATCCTATAGTACTTGCAGAGGCAAAACAGCCTTATGCAAAAGTCAGTGGAAATTTTGCCCGAGTAAAGACCAAGGTTTGTATGATTTGGCAGTTACACAGCAGAAAAAGAGAAAACAAACCAAAAAACACATTTTGCCCCAAAAAGGGATTGTGATCCATAATTATTTTATAATATAAGAATTATCTCCGAAATACCCATTAAAAATGCACTATGTTTTATTAATTGTGAAATGAAAAGTTACTTATTTCTTATAAACAGATGCAGGTCACTCAGAAATGTTTTCCCAGTCTTTGGGGGTAATGGTATGAAATCCATCAGATCCGTCGGCAAGTTTTAAACAAAAAACTTTTATTAACCTATATAGCAACTGCAGGGGTATTTGACATCAGGAAAATGAGTGGAAGATTTCAGGCTCAGCCAATATTCCAGTATGTTAAATAAGTGCCTCATTCTCTTTTCCACTGTACACACTTTTGAAACCCCTTAACTTTTCATGAGACCGAATCCTGATTACCTTACCCTTGCAAACATTTTGCTGTAGTTCATGCTAATGGGTGGTCGTTTAACCTTGCTGGTATCTCTGTAATGGGACAAGGTGGTATTAATTTTGTACGCCATGTGGAGCCTGATCCTGCTTGTTTGGAGCACACAAGCACTTTTTCCCCCTCTCTCTAAAATAGGAGGAGAGGTTTGGGTGCATAGGATTTGCTGGATGTGGCCTTGGCCAGATGGCTGGGAGATATGGTGGGAATGAGAAGGTGGGATAAAAAGAGAGGAACTATTTCAGAAAGTGACTCGGGGCTCGAACATTTGCAAAATGGCTCTTTGCTGATATCCTTGCAGAGCTGGCAGCAGTGGGAAGGAGCTGTCAGGAAAGCTATGCCAGGTCAGCCTTTCCATTTTGTTTCAGGCAGGCTTGGTTGCAAAATATATTGAAATCATTCTGGGAGAGCGGAAAAGCTGAAAAATAAAAGAAAGATCTAATCAGGCTTGGCTTCGTTGGGGAGGTGGGGGGAGGCTGGGCCTCTTGTGATGCATCCTTCAGAGTCTGTGAACATTCAAAGCAATCTCTTTCTCTTCTTCCCTCGTCCCTTTCCTCCCTCTTTCTCCTTGTCCATGTAAAGCAGAGGCTGACCATGTGGAACCGGCACTCGCCGACGAGGATGAGAGCCTGGCAATAACAGAGCCAGGCGGCATCAGCATCGCCGCAGGCGGGACAGACCCCGACTTGTTAACCTGTGGACAGTGTCAGATGAACTTCCCGCTGGGAGACATCTTGGTTTTTATAGAGCACAAGAGAAAACAGTGCAATGGCACTGGTGGTGCCTGCTATGAAAAGAGCATGGATAAGAGCAGCCCTCCCCCCTCCTCACGCGCCGAGCTCAGGAAAGTGTCAGAGCCAGTGGAAATCGGGATCCAAGTCACACCCGATGAAGAAGACCGTCTTCTCACGCCTACAAAAGGAATTTGCCCCAAGCAGGAGAACATTGCAGGTACAGCATGTTTTACACTCAATCAACTACCTAGGTAATCTTTTAACGAGAGCCCTCTAGAAAGTGTCATGAAACAGAGGCTTCAGTAACAGGTCTTTATAGGAGCCATCGGTCTGGAGGATCCTCATGGCTACCCGGGGCTCAGCAGGGCTGTCCACCCCACGTTTAATTCAGTGTAGCTATCTGCGCAGGGCCAGCTCCCAGAGACAGAAGCCTCTCGATCCCCCGGGACAGCCAAGGCGCAGCCTGTACACAGAGGAAAAAGCAGAAAGTTGGGGTCAGAAACCATTTCAGGAGCCTCCTTAAGCAGGTAGCAGTGGCGGAGGGATAGGGGCCTTTGGTGAGATGCTCAGTTCAGTCCAGTTCAGATTCCCTTTGTCACATGCAGACCCACTACGAAGGACCAAATCTCGACCCCCCTGAAGTCAGTGGAAAAATCTTCCCACTGACTGCAGTGGGAACAAGATTTGTCTGTGAGGGCTAAAGCCGGGGTTCATTAAGTCCTTGCTGGTTCCTTCCGCTGGGGTAGATGTCAGCTTCCTGGTCTGCATTGCTGCCTGTGCTGCCTGTCCTGGGTCCCTGCAGATGGCTGGAGTTGGGTGGATGACACCTCCATTCACATGCACGCCCCAAATGGGGCTTTTGAATGAAGAGACGAGCACAGGCTGGCCTGGGTGAGCAAATTGTAGGCATTTCTTTTTCTAAAACTCTCGTACGTGGTGCAGTTAACATTTACTCAGAGGACCTCCCCTGCTCAGAGGTGGGCAGGCGGGCAATGGTATCCCCCTGGGCGAGCTGCTGTGCAGCAGTTCCTGCAGAGCGCCTGGCGTGGGGCCGCATGCGTCGTGCAGGGCGTTTCTCCCCTCTGCAGCAGTGTGTTCCTCTGCAGTGGTGAAAAGGCTGCACTCCCTGCTAGTGAGTAGGGGTTTTATGTTACACAGCAGGATCTCCCCTCAAACGGGCCTTTTTTGTTCAAATGGACTGTATCCCATACAGAAGACCAGTGGCAATTTGTCTTTGCTGCCACTATGCCAATTTCTCTAGGAATTGTCCTATGGGATCAGATCTGATGGCCTGTAGTAATGTTCCCGTGAGGGGATCCCCAGAAGACTTGTGAGAGGGTCCTATCTTTACAGTTGAAGCTTAAAAGATTCCCGCTTTTAGCATTGGAGGTCTCTAAGTCAGTCCCCCGTGTCTCTGACGGGCTTGGCCATCATATAAATGAGGATTGTGGGCTTTGAACTGCTGCAGTCTTCAGATCTCCAGATGATCTTCCTCTTAGGAGAGGGCATATGCCACCCATTGACTACCTTGTTGTCTTCTAGGAATCTTTTTTGGGAGGAGTCACCATCTTGGCATGGGGCAGCTGGTAGCTTTGGGGGCATTAGCAGCGGCAGCCTGTGCCGTAGCATTGTAAACAACCCTACTGTAAGACCTGACCCCATCCTTTCCTCAACCTTTTTCAGCTTTCCCCATCCTTTTTCAGCTTTCCCCATCCTTTTGCAGTTGTGAATGCATTTCTTGGCAGAGATGACTACCTCATGGTATAGCAGCTTTGGGAGGTAGATTTCCTTCCCATTTGGTGGGAGCAGAAGGGAAGTATTCCTTCCAGGACCTTTTCCTCCAGTCTGCTGAAGGCCTCCTGAATGGTGCCGAGCACGCTCAACAGCTGTTGACCTCTGTGCAAGCTGATGGTGCTCAGCCCCTTGCAGAGGGTGCCCAGTGCTTAGTAAGGTTGGTCCAGGAGACCTACGCTGTAGTTGCAGTCCAGATCTCATCTCTTACTAATCTGTGCCCAAGTTCAGTCCATAATGAAATACTTCAATGGCTATACCCAGTGCAGAGGGTGCCGTCCCGTCCCAGCTTCTGGGGGTCAGCATCGATATAACTAACGCTTTTGCCTTGCAGAAAATCTGCTGGGGGAGGGGGTGAAGGGGATGTTCACATGTGGAAAAGGCATTAAAAAAAAATTAAAAGCCAATCTGGAGCACCTAATCTCTTTCATACTAAACTGAATATCAAATGAAAATATGTAGGAAAGATTTTGAATTGAGAAAAATAAAAGGGTTTATCATTTGACGGGCATTTTCTCAGCAGTGCACGGAGATAGGGACATCCACTAAATAGTGCAATAATAATGCTTTCTCAATTAGGAGCCCAGCTCCGAGATAAAAAGGTGCAGTGTCCTTCCATATTTTTTTTAATAGCGGATAGTTTTCAATAGTAGGATAAAAGCCTCACATTACAGCCATGGAGGGTAGCCATGAAAAACCCACAGAAGACATTCACTGGAAAGGCTTTAGTGGGATATACCAAACCCCTTATTTATATTTCAATAGAAAGGCTTTCTGCATTAGCCAAGAAAATCAGAATCTGCATTTAACATTAAAGGTATTTCCCAGTGAGCGGCTGTAGAGCATTGTTGTTAGATTTGTTAAAAAAAGAGACTAAATACGATTTCATAAAAGGGAAACTTAATCTCTAAGGCAGCTTTCTCCCACCCGGCCACCCCCTCCCTTTATTTTTTTTATTTTTTTGGTAATAATGCAACAGCCTACAGTATTTTTACTTTATATGTGACGAAAGATATTCTTAGCCTTTCTGTACTGCGACAGGAAGAATGAATTTCTTTATTCCACCAAGAAATATGTAAAATAATCCCTTAGAAGTATGGGGAGATATGTTTGTTCAAAGCATTTAAAATGTTATTTTAATCAAAGGCACAAAACACTCTACATGCTGTGTCAGCTAAAGGAGACCATTACATTTTAACAGCAAATCATGCTCTTTTTCCCCCTTCTAGCCAGCCCCCCCCCTTTGAAACTAACTTTTTTTTTATTAAATAAAAAGGCAAAAAAGATTAAAGAATAAAAAAACTTCAGTGGCTCAAATGTATAAAGTAATTTAATATGGTGGAAGCATTAATTATTTTAGCTTAATTGAATTCTGAGGACTGCAGTAGTTGCATTTTTGTAGACAAGCTCTGTTTATTATTTCTTTGTGTAGATTAACAGTAAAGGAAACATAGATAACTTTCAGTTATTTATTGTAAAATAAATGTGTCAATTCATGTGTAAAGCAAGCTGTTCAAAGATAATTGAGTCTTTATATTTGAAGAGGGAAACCAGAAATCACCCACTCGCCCCTCTGGCTCCCTGAAATATGCTGCCACCACTGCTGCCCTCAAATAGGTTTCAGCTCCTCTCCTTGATCTTGTGTTATTTTAGTAGACCTTCTTATTTGGTCAAAATGATTTGTGCGGCCTTCTGTGGTGCGACTAAACTGCCAAACCTTACAGATTCCCATGGCTGAGTGTAGCGAGGGTACGTCAAGCGCTGAGCTTGTCTCTGCCATTGCACCTCTCTTCCCTCTGGGTGTGAGGATGTCGGGATGCAGCACCGTGTGGAGCGTTCACCCTCGCACAGGGTGCTCCAGAGTCCTGAGGTCTTTCCTTCTCTCTTTCTTTTTGCCTTTCTTTCTTTCTTTCTTGGTAACTCTGCTTGGTCTGGTCACTGAATGCCTCTTGACCGCGTAACAGACCTTGTGCCGCTTCGAGGGAGGCAGGTAGAGCTCAGGAGTCTGCAAGAATTTTCATGCATGCAATGCAGATCTCCCGCTGACATTTCTAGATATCAATAGAGACAAAGGCACCTTTATGTCCGCAATCAGCTTTTAAAGACCTTTTGATAATGAAGTCTATCATCTTTCCCTGATTGATAACTTGCAAATCCATGCTTTTCAAGGCACTTTCACTTAGTTACCACTGTCCGTAAGGTGTGTGGTGGCATGTTAGCCGGCACTGGGGGGAAGTAACTTGCTTAGCAGCAGTTTTTCCTGTAAATTTTTTTTTTTTCAAATTGGCTATGCTGTTTGAAAATCAGTTCTGCCTCTCGTACAGAGGGTGTGATAGTATCGAATAGATGTACCAGATTGTCACACAGCAAAACACAGCCAGGCCAATGAGTTGGCTAGGAGTTATCAGTCACTGCTTCTTTCACTTCACTGCTGTCAGGTATTTTGGAAAAAATCAGACCACGGTTGTATTTTATACCTCTTTTTATCTTTCATATTTGTCAGATCTTGGGCATAACTGGGTGACCTGTCCTGGCTGCAAAAAGGCCCTGGGGAGGTGGCCTCCGCTGTCCTTTGACTGATGGTATCTCCTGTCCTCCTCATGGCTCTGCTGGGCTTGCGGGCCACCAGGCTGTTCTTCAGCATGGCTCTCTGAAATGATCCAGATTAAAGAAAACGCACCAGTCGGCTCGTTTTTAATCCTGGGTGGTTTCAGAGAACCCTGGCAGAGGAGGGAGTCTTGGTGGGGCAGGCACCGCTTGGACCAGACTTTCTCCAGCTTCACTGGCTGGTCTGCATGCTCCAGGCAGCGTACCCTCATGGGCAGAGAACGACACCAGCAGCAGAGGTTCATTAAGACAGTGTAGTTAATTTCTGCAAAGACAGTGCTAGGAAAGGGGAGGGGGTTGTTTGGAATTCTTCGTTCATCCTGTCCCGGCCACCAGTGCTGGGCTCCATACATTATGTACTTGAACTAGATGTGCATCATGAAAAAAGGCTCCCTGTCAGAGGCAGGATTTAACTGCAACCCCTGCTCCATGAATGTTCATTTCAGGCTTTTGAATGGTAAAACTGCCAGTGAGAGAAACTAAATAACTCACATGTGCTGGAAGGCAGAGATAAACACCGCCGCAGGTTGCCATGAAATAGGCTATTTGATATATTTAGAATTGTTATTTTTCTCCAAATTAAGATTAGTTAAATCCATGTGTGTTGTGTGAGTGATTGTTAACTCAATGGCATGGATTATCCTTTTTTCAAATCATGACAGCTAATTATTATTGCTGTCTACCCTGAGACATTCACTTACAATGTACCATTATGGACCCGCGCACCCATATTAACTGTAGGACTCAGACAGCCATCGTGATGACTTCACACGTGAGGGGAGGAAAATGCGAGCTGAAACAACCTGAGGCCTGTGGCAG